CTAAGCATTATGTGGAGCGCGAAATAGGTCCAGAGAGAGAACAACATCAAATACATGAGACGTGATGGTGTGTGTGTTTGGTTCTGAAAGAGGTAATGGGAAAAATCAACCCCGAAACATCTATAATCTTGGTGATGAAGTTCTCATTTCTGCTTCTGTTTTGTTGTTTGTTGGTGTGTTTGTATTTTAATTTGAATCCTGTCCTCGAGAATAACAATGTGACCTCTTCAGTATTTCAGTATAATAAGACATCGGCAGAAATGTCAGGTTTTGCAGTCAATCCCTCAGAATCAATCTGTGTTTACGCTGACATTTTACACAGACTTTGGATGAAATGGAGATGCAAATGTCTCCACCGCCAGCAGTCTCAACAGACCAGAATGCAATGCAGCAGGGTGACCGTCAGACCATTGGATGTGCTATAGAAGCTTTTTTTCTGTGAAATTTTCCTCATGTCTGATAGTATTTATTCTATAGCGCACAAGAGAGCAAATCATTTGTGGTAGTAGTCTTAATTTTGTTGGTTAAGCCAGCTGTGTATACAACTAAAGTATCTTTACTAAAATGAGTTGAGCTACTGTAGAGTCACTGTTCTTAGGTCACAGCAGCAGATGGGAAAACAAGTGCATCTTTCATGAGGAAGTGGAAGCTAATGGTATAAGAAAATATCCACATGCCTGAGCATCGCGATATCACTTTATTGTGAAACTGTAACAATTGATTTTTGATAGTTGATGTTACAGGGACGAACAATCCCACTGTTCTGATGGCATAAGATATGCATACAGTGGTGTGCTCTGTATATACTGCTCACAGTATCGCAATCTATTGAATTATGACCCCTGTGTCGTGACATGTAGTCCAGTGTCAGCACTGTGTTACTCTAAACGTTTCCTTGTCAGCGTTGAGCAGCGTTGTAATGGACGGTGTATCATTTCCATGTACAAATGAGTCTGTGGTTGTATAATGTACCTGGTTCCCCATTTGAGAAACAGGGTGGTGTTTGTTGGAGTCACAGACTCTGGCAGTGTTGGTCTGCAACAACACGATTTGAATAATTTCCAAATGTGAGAACTCCGCGGCCGGCCTCACGAGCAGCAGCATTTGTTTGGTGCAGCTGGCTTTTCCTTTATGTTTTGCCTGGCTCCTCGTAGTACAGTACATGTAGCCTACCTAACGTTCATGCCCACGCACTGTTGATTTTAAAGCCCACGTCACCCATAAACAGCACCGTCGTTATTGGCCGGCTGGGAAGCGACGTGACGATATTCAGTGGACAGAAACATGTTGATGCATACAGTACACTCTGTGCGCACCAGTTTGTTGCTTCCTTTTAGGCTGCGGGTGTTTTTGAACGCATCAGTTGCGGCCCTAATTTGAATGAGTGCTATCTGAAAGGCTCACAAAAGTGGGAAGTATTGAGCGGGCAGCAGCTCCACACCAGTTCCCACATAGCTCTTGTTGTAGTGCAGTTGAGTCGGCTTTTAAAGCAGCTCGCGTTGTTGTTTGGACCAGTGGGACTGAAGTTGTGACACAATGTTCGCCTCACTGTTTCCTTGACATGGACGACTACCAGTGAAGGAGCTCAGGTCAGACGGCGTTCACACACTCGCCAACGCGCACTCATGGCGTTCTTCTTCGAGGCCGCGTGTTTCATTCGTTCCCTCGTCGCCAGCGATGGTGAGTCTGGTCTCCGTGTGTGTGTGTGTGTGTGTGTGTGTGTGTGTGTGTGTGTGTGTGTATATTGATTTCTCAATAGGATCTTCCTCCTCTGCAAGTCCATCCTTTTTACTCAACTATCACATGTTTAATAATCTTTGAATGTGTTATGTTGAGCTCGTCCCTGTTTAAACCCTGTCAAATGTGTGTGTGGTGTGGGGGGGGCTCTATTGAACAGTATTAACGCGTCGGGGCCGATGAATCCTCTCCACAGAGAAGTTCCCTCTCCGTGGACTGACAGCATTGATTTTTCTGTTTGTCACACTCGGGGATTGTCAGGGTGCATTAGGCGACGGAGACAGCTGACATTTCGGGCCAGTCAGAGGGCGAGCAGATAAACATGTGCACGTGTGAGCATTGTGACTGTGGGCACTGCGTGTGACTGTTGTGTTAAACGCCACAACACAACAGCAATGCGGACGAGTGATGTTGAGGTTTTTAATGTGCATTTGCTGGGAAAACCTGTCTTGTTGAACCAAAGACATCTGAAGCAAAGAGAGGAAGAATATATTTGTTTCAGCGACTGTAATGTTCAACTTATTTATGGATTATTGAGAGCAATAATAAATTGGCTCTGAATTCCAAGAGAACCATTAAACAAGAAGCTAGTTGACGTGCATTACATAATCTCTATCTTCCTCTTTGTTATCTGATGGCTCATATAGTGTGTAGCTCAATCAAATCTACAGAAGTGTTCTGCTGTTTGAGTCCATACAGGAAACACATTTGTGACTAGCAATAATAATTGTGTGACATTCAGCCTTGTAATGTCCGCCTTTTAGTTTGAAACTGATGTGGTGTTTTCTGCTAACCACGTTACACCACATGGCTGTAATGTGAGTTTTACTGAGTACACAACCTTTATTTCCGTCTCCTCGCTCTCCTCTGTTCTCTCACTGTTTTCGATCTCGTCTCTGGAGTGAGCGAGCAGTCGAAAAACATTTTCACAATCACCCTTTTCTTTTGTCTCCCTCTGCGTCTCTGTCTGGAGGCGACTGTAAGTTAGCTCGAAGGACACTGTGTGTGTGTGTGTGTGTGTGTGTGTGTGTGTGCGTGCGCAGTTGGCTGTGCATGGGCCGTATTCTCTACTTTGTCCTTCAATGTTCCAACTGTTCTCCGTGATGGACCGACACTCTGCTCCGCACACGGCAGCTGCCGCATTTCTGAATGATTCCCGCTGCCTATTGATGTTTTCTGCAAATAGAAGAAGGGATCACGGCCTCCATCTTTGTAAAAGAGGGAACAGGCCTTGGCACTCGTCTAGACGCGAGCGCTTTGTTGAGTGCTCAGTGTGAGTCTTTCTGTGCCATCAATCCATCCTTCCAGCTCACAGTTGAGTTGACAAAACATCCCCCGTGTGCTGGGAGCAAACGTGAGGATTTTGGCGCTCTGTTGAGTTTTATAACATCAGGTAAATATCTTAACTAAGAACACTTCTCTGCTCATGCTCACATACACACACACTTACACAAATATAACAGATTGGGACAAACTAGCCTGTCAGGATGCCAGAAGGTGTGCAGAAGAGTCAGAGAAGAAACAGATGGAAGAGAGCGAGAACACACACACACACACACACACACACACACACACACACACACACACATACATACACTTGCAGATCTTTTCTACGGAACGATCACAGCACAGTTGGGCAAATGTCCTTACCTCAGTGTTTTGACCCCCCTCTTAACCGTAACGCCTCATGTTCTACTCGTGTCTTCTTGCAGCGCTTCGACACACTGTCACTGTTTTCTGTGCACGCTTCACTAAGTCAGAGAAGACCCAAGTGCAGCATTTGACAGCCATTCGCCCAACGGCTCCCAACAAACCATATGGTAGCTATAGCACTCCACGGTCCACGTACATACTCGCATGCAACCAACAGACGGAGGGGATTTTTGATTGGTTTGAACCCCCCCCCCCCCACACACACACACACACACACACACTTTTATTTTGAAATTAGTTCTTGTTTGTGGCTCGTTAGTTATTCTCACACGGGCGCACACAACCTCTCGAGCACGTTCATGTCTGCACAGCGGAGGATTCACACACGTTTTCACTTTTCAAAGTGGTGTTTGAGCTCAGCGCCGGCTACGAGCAGTCAGAGAGGCTCACCTCCACACACTCTGCCTTTCAAGCACTGGGTTCTGCTTTTTCACCAGCCAACGGCTGAATGGCTTTTTGTCAAAGTTACACAAGCTTTGCTGCATGTACTCCTATTCGACTGTATCAGATGGATCAACAGGATTTGTAGTCCTTCGGGGTAAAAACAATGAATCTGTAATTAGTGTGTAAGCATAAGCAAACTCCCCATGTCATTACAGTATGCGTTTGGTTTTCACCGTCCCTGAGACACCTCTCCTCTCTAACAAGACATCAGATTTAAACAAGGTGTCGACCAAGCATTTTTATGTCTCACAGGCTTTTTATATCTCCTCGTGCTTTTTTGTTATTCCACTGTTTCCTTCAACAGTGCGTTTTTCTTTTGAGGCAGGGCAAGACTCGTTTCGGAGTCGGCGTTGTTCCCGTCCACTGGAGCTGTCACTGTTACTCAGGCCTGAACGCCATGGCCATCGCTGGCATGAATATCGACCGCAATACTGACATTAAGCCAAATGTATGAAACCCAAAGACTGTGATACTTAGACACAAAGTTCAACTTAAAAGGAAGAGAGTTACACGTGGAGTTTGCTGCTTTGTAGCATCCTCAGCACAGGATGCTATCTTTAAAGAAGTATTTCATCGCTGGCCTTTTTCCTAAAACTAGGCTGTCTCTGTGGTGAAAAAAGGCTCACACATTTTTTAAATTGGTGCTACATGATCAGAGGAAACAGGGCGGTAGTATTCTGTAGTTTGGTCCTGAAACCAGTTTAGCTATGCTAGACTGTCTCACGCTGTGCTGTCAGCTTGTTGTCTTCATACCAGCTTCAACATCTGTGTGATCGAAGAAGTTTAATCTTCCTTTAGCTATTTGTTCATTTGTTAAACTGCATGTAAAAATTGTCTCCAGAAATTTCAGCTTTCGTTCCACCCATTCTTTGTGTTTTTTTTTGTCACACGTGTAGTGCCACAATCAGTGGTGGGTAACAGGAAAATCCCTGTTTGCCAAAAATAGCATTGAGGAAGTACTAGATAGCTCCCAGTGAGTCGTGGTGGTCGTGAGTCACTGGAGCGCAGCACCGGCCTTCTTCTCTGTGGTGAGACGCTAACCGGCATCTCTCTGTTCTTTTCTCTCTCTCCCTCTCTCTCTCCCTCTCCGTCGCTCGGCCCTCCAGACTTCAACTACAACACAGATGGCTACGAGGGGGACGCAGCGGAGGACGGCAAGTCTCAGGACGGCTCAGAGACGCTGCCCTACATAGACGAATCACCCACCATGTCGCCCCAGCTGTCCGCGCCCCAAGGGCCCGACGGGGAGGCGGTGTCCCCTACACCACCAGAGGGCCTGCTGGCAGGGGTAAGAGCTCGCACACGTTTAGTATACGGAGGCAGGTACAAGTCAGTGGCAGTCACTGACTTGCTTCAACGCTTCAACTTCTCCACATATATGGGACAGATGGAGACGTAAATCACAGGCTGGAAGTTTCAGGTTGTGATCACACGCTAGATGACTGAGTAGCTCAGGTGCAGTTCTCCTCCAGGCCAGTTTCTAAAGGAGAATATGTAAAAATCCTGAAAGTAGTTTTTAAGTATCAGTATCGGAAGTTATTAGACTGAATTCCTACACTGTAGACAATATATCTTTTGTTTATTGTTGGTCAGTGTTGTCATTTTGTTGATTGGTACTGTGACTCTTTTTGTAATTCTTTGTTGCTGCGTTTAAGTGTTGCTGGAAAGTCCAGTATTCCACACATGAGTTTACTGTTTTTTTTTTTTTGGACAAACATTTTTATCCAAAGTCACATTATCCTTGCTTTACTTCAAAATAAAATTCAAAAAACAGACATTTCTCAAATATCAGATTTTTAAAGGATAGTTTCACATTGTTTCAGGCCTATCTTAATACTCACATGCCCATGTGTGCATTGGAGGAGTTCTTGGTCGCTGCAATCAGTCTTCTTGTCCATTCTGAAAAGTGAAGCCAATGCTGAAGTGCCTTACACGCATTCTTTCTCATGGCCATCAGGCGGCGACGACTCTGGTTGCAAAAAGAAGTCTGTATAGAAGTCTATGAGAAAATGAGCCTATGTTACCTCAGTAAACATTGTAAACCTGAGTTTATGGTCTCAATCGCTAGTTTCAGCTTCTTCAATACAGCATGACGTTCATTTAATAAATGATGTTCCCATAAATGATGGCTACCTTGTGTTCGCTAACACAGCGTTGTCCGGTCTGGGAGTTGTCCGTGTTTTTGTCCTACTTTAACTTTAAACCTGTCAGTGTGTTTTCAGTTCATGAAAGTTAGTTGTAATTGTTTGTCGCCCTAAAAATGTCTTATCCAGCATTCGATGTACTTAGCTTCACCCTCCAGTGTCACTTCTGGTTGCAAAAATGGTGACGGCCTTGAGTATGGACAGGAGGAACAATTACAGGGACCAATAATTCTTAAGTAAACTTGCTGGTCAGTGTACCATCCAAAAGAGTCTTCAGAGCACCCCCTCCTCAACCATATGACGATCATGTAACTTTGACATAAACCTAAATTTGACTAAAGGTTCAATATTGTGACCTTTTTAAACAGTTTTACATTCTGACATCATTCAGGGAGTATACTACAGTTAAAGCTGACATGTCATCAGTGTTTCTCCTTGTAATTAAAAGTAGGAGGAGCAGGTTTCGTCCCGAAGTTAGCCGCCGGATCTAGACCCGGTTAATTGTTAGCGATTAGCCGCAATGGCTGCACCGCCTGCAGCACACTGCAGGTGGTGCATTCCCAGCGGCAGCAAACGACCACTGACCCAGATGGGGCTTGACAGCAGCAGCACCAGTCTGCCAATCTGTGTGTGGATGCAGAATATATATGTTCATCAGTTGGTGTTCAATGATGTGGTCCGTTTATTATTATTTTTTCAGTGTATCACTGTACACCCGCAGTGCATGGTTTAGAAATTCGATACTGGAGGTGGCACTCTTGTCTTTGTTTATTCCGTCACAGTCAGCTGTCTCTGAGCCTGTGAGGCCTCCTGTTTACTCCAGGCAATCCGCTGCTGCAGGGAACATCAAACATACTGTTTTAAGTACAACCAGACACCGGGCATTTAGAAAAGCTGATGCAAAAGCTCTCGTGAAAATAGAAATGCATCGGGTCGTTGTCGTTGCACAACTTTCTGATAGAGAGTAGCAACAAAGCACTGATATAAAAATGCTTTTAATCTGCATATTTTAGTGTCCTGATATTTACTCATTCCCTCCTTTATGTCAGTAGGTCAGGGTTAACAGGGCTCTTTCGTGTGTGTGTGTGTGTGTGTGTGTGTGTGTGAGTGAGACTTGTGTTGTCGTATGTGTTTACTTGTGTGAGTGGTTGCTTCAGCACCCGGGGATTAGCGGGAGTCGTTAACCCTGACCTGAACCGACACACAGAGGCTAGCAGGCTTTCCCTTCACACAACACAGCAGCTTTGACATGCAGCACGAAAGAACCTGAAGGAGTCATGGCTCAGACTTGTGATGTGATTTACACCTTGAGTTGTCCTTGTAACAGCCCGCTCTCCTTTGACACCTTTTCCATCCAGCTCCCTCTCGCTCTGTTTGCTCTCTAAGTCTGCCTGCTCTCTCCCATTGGCTCTTTTTTATCTCTTCTCCAAGCAGCTCTGTTATCGCTGTATTATCTTGGTAATGTAAGTACAACGTGGCCTTGATCGTTGCCCTTCTTATTATAGTGGTGATTTATGAATTATTAAGCATATTGTTCTCTTGAATTCATTGTGAGTCCTCTGTGCTGGGGTCAGCTCCTGTAAGTACAAATGTGGCTCCATCTAGTGGACATGTGGGGTAAGAAGAGACGGGATGGGACATTTTTAGGTCGCTTTTTTATTTACATTTTTTTAACCTCCCATGATTTTGATCAGGGAGAGATTAAACAACAGAATCAGATTAATTTCCAACTAGGTTTTCACATCCAGTGAATTTGCTTTGATGTATTGGGACATGACATAAACAAAAGATAAAATAAAATTACAAAATAAAAGCAAGTACTGCAAAAATGAAGAAACAATAAAGAATAAATATGAAAGAATAGAAAAAAATACTATAAAATATGTACAAAAAAATTAAATAGAATAGAAGAAAAATACAACACAAATATGAAAACAATATGAGCAATATATCTGAGCTGTACAGTTTTTATTGTGGTGGTTTGGTTTGTGCAGAATTGTGCACTGTACAAAGGTTCACAGTACGAAGTATAAAAAGAGTATTTTAATCCTTCACCTTCAAGCAGCCATCATTACGAGCATAATGTCGCACCAGATAATCTAGATTTGAAGTTCTGGTTGCATAATCTGTATGTATTCACCCACTCTGTCCTTTCTGACTCTCCTGTCCGCTACACTTTAGTAGCACATGGAGTCAGAGCAGTTCGTAGTGCTGGCCGCTTTGAGGCTGCGAGAGATTGTTTGTTGGACAGACGCTGCAGCCACGCGGACTATTAAAAGTCTTATTTCCACTGAAGTGGTCCATCCCCTCACCGCCTTGTTAAATCGCCCTTTCTTTCCGCTGAGTTTGCCTTTCATCTGCTGACACGAGAGAGCCAACGCGGACACCACCTTGCAACAAGAATCCTACATTCAGCATGAGGAGCGCGGTTTGTAAATCACATGCATGAGAGTTGAATGAACTAAGAGATGTTTTTAGTTTGAATTCTCGGATGCTTTAGAACCACAGTTTCATATGTTTCTTCTAGAGGTGAACCTTCATTCCCTCCAAAGGGTTTTCCTCGTTAAATGCAGGGTCGATGGATAGAGGGTGCTGCATGAGGCAAATTGGCGAAATGGGGCTATATAAATATAATGGACTAGACGAGTTTAATGCTTTTGTTCTCTCCATTTTCTTTTTTCTCCCCGTTATATTCTTTTTTCCCCCACGTTCTGCCTTTCTTTAGGCCTGACGTTATTTTCTTTGCTTTGTCCTCTTTCTTACGTTTCTTTCTCTGCCCTTATTAATGGCTTGAAATGACGTAGAAATTCTAGCCAAAAGCATGAATTTACTCTTATTTACTTCCAAGTCCTGTGCTTGTAAAATACGTTTGACCCACACACACATATATATTTGCAGAAGTGGCCAGTACAGATGATGTGTGGGCCAGCCTGAGAAAATCTGGAGGGAGGCTGACTTCCTGTAAAGTGGCATCGAAGGGTCAGGAACTGGGGGGGGGGAGCTACACACAAGCTCATGGCTGAATCATCACATCTGGATCGGGACAAGTCAATCTCTTCTTTTTCTAGCCTCTACAGTTATTGATTTTCCTAACCGCTCGTCTTGGTGCACACGTGTCTTTTCTTTCTTTTTTTCTCCTCCACACTGTTTTCCATGCTGGCTTCTGCTCGAGCTAAAGCTGCTGTTGCCCGGCGAACTGCGTGACCTGTAATTTGAAATCAGCCACACCAGCAGCACATTAGCCGGTCTCAGCTCCACATCCGAGGCTCTCAGCGGATCAATAAAGACCACAATGGACCAGAGAGAAGGAGGAAGCAATGCAAGGAAGAGAGAGAGAGAGAGAGAGAGACTGCCTGTCCGTCCGAAAGGAAGTGCCTTTTGCCCAGAAGATATACGGAAGGAGACGAAGAGAGTGAAGCAGACGGACTCTCCCGGTGAGGCGCAGACAGAAGTGCTCTACACCGTCATCGAGGAAGTGGCTGGATAGCATTTGCTGTGAGGGGAGGGGCGGGACGCGGAGGGAGGGCAGACCTCATCGACCGAGCTGGAACAGTTGGCGCACACACACAGAGTACACACACATGCACACTCGCACCAGGAAGCCCAGCAGAGGAAGGGGGTGGGGTTGTGTAGGCGGGGTCCTCTCTCTTTCTCTTTCTCTCGGCGTCCAGACGACTTGCTCTGAGGAGAAAACACTGATGTGTCCAGGCAGGCCCTGAAGAGAGAGGGATTCTCGGGCAGAAAGAGGAGAGGAGGGAAGGAAAGAAAGAGAACCATGGAAGAGGAGGAGGTGCTGTGCTACTTGGACAGGGTGCTGGAGGAGGAGGAGGAGGAGGGGATGGTGTTTGAATATAGAGATGGGGAGCTGGATCCCATCACTCCAACACATAGACAGTTCAAGGTGAGACAGCGGCTGGACTGCCTGATGCAGGGGATACACACACACTACACACTTCTGCGACTCACACCCTGACAGGACTTGAAAGCTCGGCTATATATAGCAAAGTGGAAGGTCTTATTGGTGTTGTTGCCGTGATGTGGCGTCACTGTGTGTGTGTGTGTGTGTGTGTGTGTGTGTGTGTGTGTGTGTGTG